TGGGGAGGCTGAGGCAGGAGGATCACTGTGAGTTCGAGACCAGCCTGGGCTACATAGTGAGTTCCAGGTCAGTCTCAACTACATAGTGAGACCCTGTCTCAAAAAAAATAATAAAAAAATAAAAAATAAATAAAAATTTTTAAAAAATAGTGAGGGCCGGGGATTTAGCTCAGTGGTTCCACTGCCTGTCTCGCAAGAGCAAGGTCCCAAGGTCAATACCCAGTACCAAAAAGATAAAGTGAATTTCATCAACTTTTTTCCCCCTCTGGCTTTTATCAACACTTTAGAAATGAAAGCAGGTATTCTCACTTTATTTATGGAGTTCCCCCACACACACTATACCTCTCTTCTGAGACCTTTTCAGTCTTTATTTCCCAGATATACATACACAATCAGATACTCGTCTTTTTAACAATCTGTATAAACATCAATTCCCCAACCTGCAGAACTGGAGTAAGAAGCACAGAAGAGTGCTACTGAGATGGAAAATGGAATAACACAAGAGGTCCAACTCTGGGCAGCCATGATAACAACAGCTAACATTTACTGAGCACTTACTATGTGCCAGGTAGGGTTCTAATGCTTTCTACTAACTCATTTCATCTCCCACATTCACGCTAAGGTAGGAGACAGGGATTGACCTAGGAAAGAGAAATGAAACAAATTGCCCACCCAGCTGGCGAGTGGTGGTGCCTGTAATCACAGCACCTTGGGAGGCTCAAACAGGAGAATGGGAAGTTCAAGCGCAGCCTAAGTAATTTAGTGAGACTCTGTAGCAAAATAAAATAAGGGTTGGAGATGAAGCTCAGTGAGAAAGCCTTGGCTTCAATCCCCAGTCTCCCCTCCCCCCAAAAGTGATTTATCAAATTTACAAAGCAGAAACAATTGCTTTGTTTTATACTACTAGGTCCTCTTAGTCATTGCGTTCCACCGATTAATTTGGGAGAATTTCCTGCCACGAAGAAGTGAGTCAAGGGGTGAAGTATGGCTCTGATTAACGTTTAAATTGCAGTGCTTATGTGTTGTTATGAACAGTGGTTATGAAATGGCTTTATAGGTATGATCACTTTTAGTCCCCTATTTTAGGGATGAGGAAATAGAAGTTAGAGGTGCTAAGTCATCTGCCCAAAGTCAGCAAGTTAGCAACCAGTGGCGCCGTACTGTTTGAATCCAAAGTCCACTACACTCAAACCACCATGCGACCAGCCCCAGAATTCGCAGCAGGAGGATCCAGGAGGGGCCTTGCGTCTCTCCCACCCCACCTGGGTGCCTCGGACCCGAAGGTGCACCTCCTAAATTAGCTTCGTGACACCCGACCCTTGTGCGTAAATGAGTTGCAAATCGCAGGTCTATGTAACTTTCCACGTTTGCTGAAAATTCAAATTACGTCAACCCAGAGAGATCCGACGGACCCCAGTGGTGCCCTCTGCAGCTTCTGGGCGAGGAGGAAGCGGCTCCGGATGGAGCGCGCAGGGACGGCTGGCGACGGGAAGGCAGCCTTTCCTCCCGGGGGAGCGCGGGGACCTGCGAGGGCGGCTTCTCGGCTCTTTCCTGTCCCACC